TGGCCATTCTGAATCCGAAAATCATTTGGCCTACTATGCCAAAACAACAAGTTAAAGAGAAATAGAATTGCATTTGTTGTTAAAAAGAGAATTTCAAAATCTATCCTAAAGTAAAACCAGGTAATAGGATTATTACTCAAATGTATGTTCCAATCACTATGCCAAAGAAATTGAAGACTTTTTCCCAACTTTTGCAATCTGAAATTTGTCAAACATGCAATTAAGATGCATTGACAATTACTGGTGATTGGAAAGTACTTGTTGGAAACAAAGAAGGATCAATACTTGGAAAATATGGCCTTGGTAATAGAAATTATGCTGGAGATTGCATGATAGAATTTTGCAAAGCCAAGAATTTATTCATCGCAAATTCCTTTTTCAACAGGAATGGTGACTTATGTACATGGACCTCTCCAGGTATACAGGAATCAAATCCACTACATTTATGTAAAGAGATGATGCAAAAGCTCAACATCATCTGTCAGAACAAAGCCAGGAGATGACTGCAGAACAGACCATCAATTGTTCATATACAAGTGCCAGTCAAAGCTGAAGACAATTAAAGCAAGTCCATGAGAGCCAAAGTATAACCTTGAATATCTCCCCCCTGGATCTAGAGACCATCTTGGAACAGTAGATTTGACACATTGAACACTAATGAGTTCAGGAATGTTCTTGATGAGTTATGGGATGACATCAAGAACATTCTACATGAAGAAAGCAAAAGGTCATTAAAACGACCGGAAAGATACAAAAGATCAAAATGGCTGTCAGAAGAGACTCTGAAATTCGCTCTTGAATATAGAGTAGCTAAAGAGAATGGAAGAAATGATGAAGTAAAAGAGCTGACCGGAACAATGCAAAGGGCAGTTTGAGAAGCTAGAGTACAAGTATGCATTGTTTAACATCTACGATACATTCTGTACAGTAGGGCGTTATGTGATATGGATATTGTGCATACACCACATTAAAACCTATGGAATAAAACCCAGGGGCCTTGAATAAATTAGTTATTTATTTGGTTAGTTTATTTTTTCCGGTCTCCTTTGTCACTGCTGTGGCCACTACTGGCAGAAGCCAGAGAAAGGAAGGTGGGGGTAGGGGTTGGGGTGGGCAGACGGCTGCTGCAGAAAGGGCTTTGGTGACAGCAGAGCAAGAGGAAATGAGTGAGGGGGCGGCACAAGGCCAGCCCCACCTGAAGCTCCTCAGCTGCCACCTGTCCAAGGGCCCACACATGCAGAGCCAGGCTCTCTCTGTCACCTTGCATTATTCTACCTGTGGCCTTTGGCTGCAAGAATCTGGCTAGAGTTCTTTATGACTACTATTGTTATTGTTGTTGGGGGGGGAATAATAAACAAAAGGAGAATGGCTTTGCTTAAAAAACAACAACAACAAAAACATCTTGTGGGGCCACAGATGTGTATGTGGTCAGCCTTTGCCCAGAGAACATTAAGCAATGCATACCTATGTTATAATGAAATGTGCAAAGACCCAGAGTTAGAAAACCAAAAGGGAAGAACACACTCAGCTGACAAACTGAATAAAACATTGAGATTACAATATTGAAGGGGTCTATGCACAAAATAAGGGGCTCTGGTAGTCTAGTGGTTATAAGTCAGGCTGCTAAACTCAAGTTCAGCAGTTCGAATCTACCAGCTGCTCCGGGGGAGAGCAATGAGGCTTACTGCTGCTGTAAAGATTTACAGCCTTGGAAACTCTCTACAGGGTTGTGATGAATTAGAACCAACTCCACAGCACACCAACACCATAGGCGAAATACCAAACAATGCAAGAAGCATCGAAAGAAAATGGATGGAATGCATAGAGTTACTGTGCCAAAAAGAATTGGTCAAGGTTCAGCCATTTCAGTAGGTAGCATATGATCAAGAACCGATGTCACTGAAGGAAGAAATGCAAGCTGCACTGGAGGCACTGCTGAAAAACAAGGCTCCGGGAATTGATAGAATATTAACTGAAACATTTCAACACACGGATACAGCACCAGAGGTGCTTACTCATCTATGTCAAAAAAAATTGGAAGACAACTACCTGGTCCACTGATTGGAAGAGATCCATATTTCTGTCCATTCTAAAGAAAGATGTCCCAAATCTTGCAGAACTCATAGAACAAGATCATTAATATCATATGCAAGTAAAATTTTGCTGAAGAGAATTCAAAACTGGTGGTAGCAGTACATCATCAAGCAGCTTCCAGAATTCAAGCTGGTTTCAGAAAAGGATGTGGAACAAGGGATCTCACTGCTGAGGTCAGATGGATATTGGCTGAAAGCAGAGAATGCCAGAAAGATGTTTATTTGTGCTTTACTGAATATACAAAGGGTATAGTCTGGATCGTAACAAGTTATGGATAACCTTGCAAACAATGGGGAGTCCAAAGCACTTCATGGTACTCACGTGGAACTTGCACACGCACCAAGGGGCAGTCATTAGAACAAAACAAAGGGGAGATTGAATGGTTTAAAATCGGGACTGGACTGCGGCAGTGTTGTATGCTTTCAGCACACCTACTCACTCTGTATAATCCTAGTAGCTGTACTCTAGAAAGAAGAATACAGCATCGGGACTGGAGGAAGACTCATGAACAATCTGCATTATGGTAGGCTGCTTTGTCAAAACAATTTCAGAAACTAGAAAGTGAAATGAAAGTTACCTTCTTCTATTAACTTCAGTTTTCTCATTTCGGTCTGTGTTTTGGTTTGATGAGGAAATCTAGTTTTAAATGGGTTGTTGGTGGTGGTGACGGTTATGTACCATCTAATTGACTCCTATTCATAGCGGCTCTGCATAGGGTTTCCAAGCCTGTAAATCTTTATGGGAACAGAAAGCTTCATCTTTCTCCCAAGGAGGAACTGTTAGATCTGACTGTTGACTTTGCAGGTAGCAGCCCAGCTCCTAACCCGGGCTCCTCGTTTTAAATGGGTGGTTGTTAGTAGGTTCTGTTAAGTCCATTGCAACTCACAGGGGCTGTATGTCCACCTGCCGAGGCCTACACCATCCTCAGACTCATTGCTTAATGAGGAAGCTGCTGAAACGTGGGAACAGTTTTTAAGTTACTCACTTAGCAATCTCAGGAAAATCTTCACTTAAACAGACAATGCAGGAGCATTGTTATTCTGAGTGCTACGCCACCCAGCTGTCAGACTGCCGTACTCTGGTGGCTTGTGTGTTACTTTGATACTGGAGGCTATGCCACTAGAATTTCAAATACCATCAAGGTCATATGTGGTGGACAGGTTTCAGCGGAGACTCCACACTAAAACCAACTAGAGGAAAGTTCTGATAATCTCCTTCTGAAAATCAGCCCATGAGAATGCCGTGGCTCCCAACACAAGATTGTCTGACAGAGTGCTGGAAGAGGAGCCCACAGCTCAAAGGCACTGCACAGAAGCTGTACCAATGGACTCAAACATGCCAACCTTCACAAGGGTGCAGGACCATGGGGCAGGGTGTGGTTCTGATATACTTAGGCTGCCATGAGTCCAATGAGGCAAACTCATGGGTTAGTATTTGGTAAACAGCATGCTTGAGGATGCCTATTTTTAACATAGATTTAGTATGAATTTGGGGCTAGAATTTAATCATTTCTAAGGTGCCTCAAGTACCCTTCAGGTCTGTAATGCTAAGGACAGACTGAAAGAAGCTTGTTGTCTGGGTGACTTTTTGTTGCAAATGCCTCAAGTTAACTGGACAAACGAAAGCAGGCCTACAATGAAAGTGTTAGGAAGGTGTTGGAAGTGACAATTTGTCTCATCTTCAAAATGTCACCCAGGTTGGAAATGTAAAGGTAGACGTTTTATAGCAAGGAGGAGAGTGATGAACTTTTCAGTCTAGGAGCAGAGGTCCCTAGGAGCATCAAGGGAGAAGAGCAGAGAGCGGGACCCTACCCAGAGAAGCAGTGATGCCTGAAATGGAGCCAGAGATGATGACGTGGAGCGATGGAGAAGCTGGAGACTTTAGATCCAGAGAGGGAGAGCAGAGCGACTGTGTGCTGAAGACCTGGGGGGGTACGAGGGAAGGATTGCATGGAGGGGATTGTAACCATGGCAATGAGAGGATATATGATAGAATGAATGTAAAACTAATGTTCTCCCATGTAAACTATCACATAATTCACAATAAAACATTAAAAAAAAAAAGTCACCCAGGCCAATAGGGGCTGGTTGTAATAAATACAAGGACACCTTGCTTTAATCACTATAGGAGAGGCAATATTTAAACAGTCACAGGTGAAAGGAAAGACGGGATGCTAGATTAGCATCCTAGCCAAATACTCTCCCCGTTATTTCATCCCAGTGCCCCAGGATCCCAGCACCCCTGGCCTTGGGCGCTGGCATTACCTTCAGACATCAGGCTCAGGGGCTCGTAAGACACAGTCTTCCCGGTGCCCTGGCCGTAACAGGGCCCACGGGAGCCTGCGGGGGAGTCGCAGACCCGCTGAGCCTCCGTGGTGGTCAACGAGTCCCACTGCAGCTCCTTCTTGGGGGACCGGAGGTCAAGGCTGCACCCCCTCCAGCCGTAGAAGGCCAGAGACAAGAGAAACCCTTGGGCTGGATTCAGTGTGCCCTGGTGGGAGAGACAGAAAGACATGGGCAGGGCAGTCAGTCAAGAGAGTGTGGGAGGAAGCAGAGTGGTCAGTGGTCCCACCGCATGTCTAGGGCACTTGAGAAGGGCTCAGAAGGGCAGTCTGGGACAAAACACGGATGAGCTGTTGATGCTGTACCTGCAAAGTATGCCTGAAGAGAGAAGAGGAAGAGACAGGAGGCAAAAGGAGGGGAGAGGAGAGGCAGGTGAGAAGAGGAGGAAGAGAAGGAACAGAAGAGAGGGAAGTGGGTCAGAGGAAACGAGGGTGGGGGGGGGAGGGAAGGAAAAGGAAAGGGAACAGGGAGATGGGTGGGGAGCTGGCCAGGAGGGAGGACAAGAAGGAAGGGAGGAAAAAAAAAAAAAAGAAGGAAGAGAGGGGGCAGGAGACACGAAGGAGGGGGTAACAAAGAGTAGAGGGAGGAGAATGAAGGAGGAGGCAGGAAGATGCAGGAGGGGGGACATCCTGCAGGCTGAACGCAGATTCCACATCACAGCACTTTTTCTCTCCCAACTATTTTAGTGAAGCAGGTACAGCCTTGCTTGCTGAAAGTGAAGAGGACTTGAATTACTTACGGATGCAGTCAAAGTCATAGCCTTCAGTATGGATTACACCTCAATATAACCAAAAACAAGAATCCTCACAACTGGACCAATAAGCAACATTATGATAAACGAAGAAAAATTGAAGTTGTCAAAGACTTCAATTTGCTTGAATCCACAATCAGTGCTCATGGAAGCAACAATCAAGGATTCTGCATCGGCAAAAAAAAATCGGCACAAGCCCCCTTTACACTGTTAAAGGGCAGCAGCCCTGAGGGAGCTCCAGCCAGAAGGCAGTACACACAACTACAGTAGAGGAAATGTATGAAAACATGGGGAGGGGAGTACACTGAAGAGTTATCAGCTTGTTAGGGGGTCGGGCCCTGAAGGGATCGCCCACCAGCTGACATTTTATTCCCTCCTGGCCAGGAACCATTCAAGTAACAACATGTTGTGAATCTTTTCTTGTTGTCTTTGTCTTCCAGGAAGAAGATGTAAAATCACCCATGACCTACCATGATGACCCATGTGGTTTTGGCTGCAATTCTGACAGATTTCAGGGAGCCTCTGTGGATATCTGGTTGCATTTCAAGATAGAATAAAAGGCTTTCGTTGATGATATTCGACAACCAGCTGTTGGAAAGGAAATGGCCCACAAGTGAAAAAAAGCATGCAATAAAATGAGGTTTTAAATGCTGGGGTGGCGGGGACCGTTTGTACCAAGGACTGAAACCATTTCTGCAGTAAGAGACTGCGAGGAAGCTGCACATTCTGAATTCCTTGGGAGAAATGTAACTCCCTTTCTCCGTCTAAAACAGAAATCAGCAAATGCTTCCAATCAACACCCCTTCAGAGTGTAAGGTTCCAGCACTGAATGAACTTACCCAGAATTCACTCATTCTTTAAGGAGTCAGCCAGAGCTTTGATGGAGACCAAAACACATCTAACTTTGGCATTTCATGTTGGAATGTTTTAGTGCTGTTGAGTATGGTGAGTGAACTTTGAGATGAAGAGGGAGATCATTTACATTCCCCCTAGTAGGGCATCCAAACACACTTCCTCCTAGCAGGTGAATTATTTACACCGCCAAGGCATGCATGGCTACAAGTATCGCTTTACCACTATGAAGGGCTTTCTGATTGCAATCTTTCCTGCCTGGGTTGCAGGTCTATCTTCAAAATGTCTACCTGACACTTTGGACAAGATACCCCTGGGGAGAAGGGATGAACCACGGAGAGAAAATGTTTTCCCTGTTCTCTACCCTTCTAGGCTATGAACGATCACGAACCATGTGTGCATGCCACTGTATGAGGTACAGGAATTCTGGGGCAAGAACAATGCACTGGGTAGATAGAAAAGCATGTTCAAAGACAACATTTTGAAGTGAGTATCAGCAACAATGTGATTTGCTTTGCTGAAGCATATGGTAGGGATGTTTGAGAACTAAACTCTGGACTTCTTTTTCTAAAGGCATTATATATTTCTATGTCTATATCCTGTGAGTACACAGGAATCTCTTCCCAGAAGCTTGGGAATTGTGGGCCTAATTTCCTGTCTTGTGTGTATTTCTGCACAGGGCACCTCACTCTGGTTCAAAGATTTCCTTTCCAAAGACACTGCCCTTTGTGACTTCTGGACCACAGGCACAATGAACAAGTTGTTTTCAGGTCTCACCCCACTCTCAGTGAAAACACCAACCCACAAACAAACAGCATTGAAAAAGTTTACCAAATTGTTAGAACCAGCATGATTTTGAAGAATCGGATCTTGATCACAGCTCCCATCCGCCTCTCATTCTCTGTGTAAATGCCTTGTCTTCCTTTTAGCAGAGCGACCACTGGAAAGAAGACAGAGAAGCACACAGTGCTCACTGGTCAGGGCTTCTGAGGAACAGGGGTGGCAATCAAGGGTGGCAGGTTCACTGCAGAGGCAGAGCAGTGAGGAGCAAAGCAAACCACAGAGACTCATCTGTCAGGAACCGCCAACTGGGGGCCCTCCTGGATGCCACAGAAAATGTAGGTCTATGAAGGGGACTCAGAAAGTTGGTGGAAAAATTCCATTATGTTTTAATTCCATTTTCCACAAACCTTGAAGAAGACCCTTGATAGGTATGTCAAAAACCAGTGGGTTTGGTGTCAAACCAGAGGTGGCTGGTGCCTGGGTCAGATCAGACCACAAGATGAGAGGTGGGGAGGAGAGCCTGGGGAGGGAGAGGATGTGAGCTCAGACTTTGCCCCTGACTCAATCCCTGCCCCTGCTCCCAAGTGACCTTGCAGAGAGGGCACAGCAGGGAGCAGTGTAGGGACAGGGAGGAGGCACTGGTGGGGTGGGTAGGGTGCTGGTTCTGAGGACTCTAGTGACCAGGGAAGGCAAACCCTCCCGGAGCCAAGTGGAGAAATTGAGTTTGTGGACTGGCCCCATCCACTGCTCGTGGAGAAGGGAGAACACTGCCAGACTCGGTAGCTGAGGACAACTAGGAATACCACTGTGGAACATCCTTGCAAGTACCTGGCTCTGCGCATTGCTCTTGCACGGAGGCAGCAGCAAGAGGCAGCGGAGCCACGAGGGCCTGGAGGGGGCGCCTCTGAAGCTGGACGAGGGGAGAGCCCTGAGGAGCCTGCCTTGCCCAGTCGGGAGGGGGTCAGCAAGAAGCAGTACATCATCTTCATTGCCCCTGGGGCAGAGCTTTCACAACCCCGAATGGCTCACTAACCCTAAAGTTGGTGAATGAGAAATTCTGGAAGGTGTCCCAGCCACTGGAGCTCTGCTACGCCCCCACCAAGGATCCAAAGTGACCTTGCAAGGGGACAGCCAGAGGATGGGCACCACAGTGTGTCCCTGTGTCCTGGCCTACCACCCCAGCTTCTTTGTTCCCCAGTGCCCACCGGCCTGACCAACCAGCCAGAGGACACAAACAAGGACCAGTGGCTTTTATGCACAATATCTATATCAGATTCTTCTATATTGTACAGACTAGGGCATGCGCCCCCATCTACTGCCTTTTCTAATGACCCCCAACTTCTCATCTGTGCAAGATGTTGGGGAGGGCAAAGAACCCTCACCTTCACATCCTCCAAAACAACAAATTTGCTTTTTTCCCTTCTTTGAAAAAAAACAACAAAACACCCCACTACCATTGAGTCAATTCTAACTCACAGCAATCCTATTACTATTGGACTTCTGAGACTGCAACTTTTTATGGGAGCAGAAAGCGTATTTCTCTCACAGAGTAGGTGGTAGGTTTGAACCACCACACTTACAGTTAATAGTGCCATCAAGTTGGTTCTGACTCTGTACAGGGTTTCTGAGGAGTAGCTAGTGGGTTTGAACCAACAGCCTTGCAGTTCAACCCAACCTCGGGATCCAATGCTTATCCTACAGTGCCACACCAGGACTCCGTATCTATAACCTAAAAATTTCTGATGCTGTCAAGTCGATTCTGACTCACAGAATCCTGGTATTGCATTTCTAAGGCTGTAGATCTTTATGGGAGCACACATCCTCATCTTTCTTTCTTGGAACGACTGGTGGATTTGAACTACTTACCCTTGTGGTTAGCAATCCAATGCTTACCCTACAGTGCCATCAGGACTCCTTTATGTATATATATATATATATATGTTGCTATCGTTATGTGCTATAGAGTCGGTTTCGACTCATAGATACCCTGTATAGAGTTTCTGAAGCTTTAAATATTTTGCAGGAGTAGAAACCCTACTATTTTGTTTTTGTTGCTGAGAATATATATCAATTCAACAGTTTGTACACGTACAATTCAGTGACACTGATTTCATTTTTCAAGATCTACAACCATTGTCATTGTCCTTTTCTGAGGTGCTCCCCCACAGTGCCAACTACAGTTCCAATCCAATCTTTCGAGGTGCTCTTGCCAGTTGGATTCCATATTCTTAAAAGAGTATAATGCTTAATGCAGACCTTCTTTCTATTAACCACTGTTTGGTTTTAAGAAGATTCTGGGAATATTCTTGGTTTAAGTCTGAAAGATTGTCTTAAGACACTAATTTTGAGGGTTCATCCAGCTTCACTGACTCAAAAAAGCCTAGATTCCATGAAACTTCCTGTCCTTCATTTTCCCCCTTTTGATTAGAATTCCTCTGTAGAATCTTTGATCAAAATGTTCACTAATGGTAGCCAGGCATCATCCAACGTTTCTGGTCTCATAGTTGTTCTTGGAGGCGACTAGTCTCACAGTGATAGTTGCACATTAGGTGCACTGGCTGGGTATCAAAACCTAGTCTCCCACATGAACTTGACACACATGGAGTTGCTATGAGCTGGCTGGCATCAACTCGATAACAACTGGTTTACCTGCAGTCACCGTCTTCTGGAACAGGATGGGGTTAGCCAATAGGACAAGCATCAGTGGCAAGTATGTGGTGATGTAATGAGGGATGGTGTGCTCCACACCCTTCTCACACCTGAGAGAGGAGAACCATATCACTTTTCTCAAAAGCAAAGCTTTGGCTGAAATACATCTGCCTACGTATCTGGAGCTCTGGTAGCGTAGTGGTTACGAATCAGGCTGCGAACCTTAAGGTCAGCGGTTTGAAACTACCAGCTGCTCTGCGGGAGAAAGATGAGGCTTTCTACTCCCGTAAGGATTTACACCCTCGGAAACCCTGTACAGGGTCGCTATGGGTCGGAATCGACTCGGTGGCACTCAACAACAACAACAACGTATCTGGAAGTCGAGATATGATGAGAGCGAAAAGGGAAACGCACAAATCTCCTTCTGACTCAGCCCAAAGGAAATCTGACTCATTGCTCCTGTCTGAGAACAAGGGGTATGTGGCATGTCTGCACTCTTCTCAGGAGGGCTTTGAGTTACTGCCTGTGGGTGGGGGTGGGAGTGGAGAGCTTACAAAGCTGTCTGGTGGGTAAAGGAAAGAAAGAAAAAAGACAGCTGGCAGGGTGGATGCCCTCACACTGTGTCTTCTCAAGGAACAAACATTGACTCCAAGGAGGGACCAAAGCACGCATAAGCCTTTAAGGCTTGAGCACTTGGCTGGGTGCAGGGCCTTCCTAGCCCGCCTAGTCCTCACCTACCAAGTGCTTACTACCCCACGGGCTTCCAGTACCAACAACCCTGGTGCTCATGGGTATGAGAAACAGTCCTTTTCGTGGTTTTCAGGGAAAAGGGCAGATTTTCATTGATGGGTCATAGGAAAGCCACCCACTCAAATGTCACCTCAGCTGAGAAATGCACAATGTAGGAGACAAGGGAAAAAAGCACTTGTAGAAGAGACTTGAGGGCAAAGGGGAGAGGACAGTTCAGATCCACATAGGGAAGCAGAGAAGCAGAGATGGGAACAGCTCCTGGGGCCGTGGAGGGTGGGAAGCCCTCAGGTCTGCAGAGTGGTCACACCAAGAAAAATAGCAGACTGCAGCTCCCTCTTGTCTCCAGTGCTGTACTGCCATCTCCTTTAGAATGGATGCGGCCATCTGCAGCTGTGAAGGGTCAAGTACCTACGTGTGGAAAAGCTTGAGGGGTAAAGGGAGATCAAGTAAGAAGGAAAGTGATTCCCTGAAAATACATGGCAGTGAGAGGGTGAGAAGGGGAGCCTGCCCAACCTCAGGACTCCAGGCTGCAGAGGGGCAACAGATATAAACCAATGAGACTCCAGAGGAATCAAATGTGGAGGCCAGCAGGTTTCTGACCGCCCTGGAAACTTTCTGACCCCTGGAAGCTTCTCAAAGCCCTGCAGGACTTGTGCGTTCCTGTGAAGGTATGATCCATACTTAAGGCTGTAATTGGGTGGGTCCGAAACCTGTTCTGAGAGGTGTCCTATGAAAAGTAAAAAAGACACAAGCCAATACAGTGGGAAAACCCCATACAAGGCTAATCTATAAACCAAGAAACCAAGGAGCTCTCGGGACTAGCTACCTGGGAAAATGCACAGTGCTGAGATCCTGACTTGGACTTTGAGCCTCCAGAACAGTGAGAAAATTAATTGCTGTCTTGAAAGTCATGCTGAGTAACTAAGACTGCATTCAGCGCTCCCTATCAGCATTCAGGGTGACGCGGGCAACACCCATTTGGAGACAAAAAGAAGGGGGAGAGACTGTCTACACCAGGAGGCAGCAAATGTTTGCCCTTAAGGATCCGATAGGAAATGTTTTGAGCTTCACAGTACCTGCAGTCTGTCTCAATTACTCTTCTGTTACAACTGAAAGAAGCAACAGACATAAACAAATGGGAATGGATGTATACCAATAAAACTTTATTAACAAAAGCAGACACCAGCCTAGACTTGTTCTGAGGGTTGTACTTTGCAAACCCTGACTGACTGTATGCTGTGGAGTCGGTTCCGACACATAGCGACCCTGTACAGGGTTTCCGAGGCTGTAAATCACCAGTTCTTGGTCTTTTAAAGTCAGTGAAATAGATCTGAACCACAAACTATATGGTTAGCTGCTGAGCACTTAACCACTGTGCCACCAGGATTCCTTATCCCTGGTCTACAACAGCCCTAAACTCACAGAGACACAGTCTGCCTCTGTTTTCCAGTTTTCTACTGGAAGGTAGAATTCACTTCCTTAGAAGTACCTGGAGGCTTTGCCAACAGTTGTGTTTATGGGATTGTAAGTTTGACGAACATTCCTGCAACATGGGCCATGTCTCCCTGTATGTGTAATCAGGACAGCTGAGAAGGCAGGATGGAAGAGAAAAGGAAATGCAGCAGTGGGGCTATAGATTAGCTCTCCTAGCAGGTCCTCCTTGCTTGCTTGACAAACTCATTCTTCAAATGGTAAAGCCACCTGCTCAGACAGAGAAAAATGGTTTGGACCATACTTGTGTGTGCGTATGTGTGTGTCTGTGTCTGTGAGTGTGTCGGGGGCAGGTAACGAAAGCACTGTGTTCAGCAGCCCTGCCATGGCCCCTGCATGGCTCACAGCCCCCTCATCCTCAGGCAGAGATCAGGGCATCTGGGCTGTGGGAGTCTTTCCTTACCTGGACACGGATGGGTAGTAAAGCATGAATCCGCCCTCCACGCAGAGCAGGACAGCCAGGCCCCAAGCCATCAGGCGGTATAGCAACATGGTGCTAGGAGAGAAAAGCAGGAATGAGCTCTGCTTCAAGGAAGTCCCACATGGAAACTTCTATCACATGTACATGGATCAACGTGCGCACTTGGCTGTGGGTGGCTGGAGCATAGGAAGCCAGCGGGAGAGGCAGAGGGGAGCCTCGTGGAGAGGAGCAGGTCTCCTACTGGTTCCACGCCAGTGAAACCGTAGACAGTCTTACTTTTATTATTTTAGTGATTAAACTTACATTATCCTTAACTTATCAAAATTATTCAATTGGCTCCACTGGTAGGCTCTTTTCACTGTTTCAAAAACTGCTACAATGAGATCAAGGTTCAAACTTCTGGGAATACGATCTGAAAAGCCCTGAGGAAGAGAGCGGCTGCGACTCCCGTTCATGGGGCGTTGGCAGTGACGCGGGAAAGGGTCCTTCTAGTTCTGGTTTCTCTCCGTTGCCGTCCCCAGTGAGAAGACTGGGTGAACCCGGTTCATCTGGAGCCACTTTAAGATGAGTTGGTTTCCCGGGGAAAGGGCCACAGAGCCTCTCAGTTTGTGCGGTGCTCTTACCCCTGGGAACAGCCTTTTTCATAAAAAGCAGGCACGCAGGTCAGCAAGTCACCCATGCCCACTCCTTCCCCAAGGCACCCCATATTTATGTGTGACTGTCTTGATGCATGGTACAACCCAAGAGGCTGCCTGAAGAAATCAGTGACTCTTTGCTGCCCCAGGTGTTTAGTGGTCTTGCTTTCTTGCCTTCCCACCTCCACCACTCCTTCCACGGTCAACACTCTGGGACAATCTCTGCCCTTCATCTGGGGATGTTCATGTACCACCCTGCCCCACAAAGGGTCCACAGGGGTTGGCTTTCCTTGTTGGGGAGAGAGCCTGGACACTGAGTAGGTAGGGAGTTGTCTGCCTGGGCCAACCCCATGACCTATTTCCTGGATCAAACCAGAGGGACAGATTGGGATACACTGTTCATGCCCAAGGACACTCCCCACGTCCTGGCAGACTTCACACTCAGCTGTGGGGGTTCTAGCTCTGAAGGTGGAGGACAGACAGAAGGATGGATGGAAAGGATGTCCTTCTGTCCAAAGGGACCAAGGCTAAGGGCTCCATGGGACATGCTGGTCAAGCCACATGATGCTCCCCGCTTCCTGGCAGACAGTGTGTTTGGCTGTAGGGGTTCTAGCTCTGAAGGTGGCGGGCAGACAGGAATGAATGGAAAGGACACCCTTCTCCACAAGACAAAAGGAAAGAACCCGATAGACAGGAATGGGCAACTTGGACATTGGCTACCCAAATGGGGGTGGGGAGGGAGGCTACAATATTCTCTATTGTTTGGTAAGATGGAGGGTCAGAGAAAAAGAGGAAAACCCCCAACAAGATGGATTGCCCAGGTGGCATCATTGATGGACTCAAGTGTGGCAGCGGTAGTGAGGTTGGCCCAAGATCAGACATTGTTTCGTTCTGCTGTGCATGGGTCGCTATGAGTCGGTTCCGACTCAATGGCACCTAACAACAACAACAACAAAGGCAAGAAGTGACTGGCATACAAGCTTTCAAGAGGGAGCCTAGATTCAGAGGGTGAGGAGGAAGATAGCATCTCCACTGAATAGTATCCAATCTGTCTAGGCAGGACTGACGAAAGGAGATGTGGATAACACTCATGTGCTACAATTGTGAATAATTACTATCAGGACTAACTGTGAGGGTTGGAAATGTAAAGGTAGATGTTTTGTAACAAAAGGAGGAGAGTGGTTGACTTTGGAGTTCAGGAGCAGAGGTCCGTGGGACCATTCAAGGGAGAAGAGCAGAGTGCGGGACCCTACCCATAGAAGCAGTGACACTAGAGATGGAGGCAGAGATGATGACGTGGAGAGATGGAGAGGCTGAGAACTCTAGACCCAGAGAGGGAGAGGGGCTGTGTGCTGACGACCTAGGGGACAGGCTTGTGGGCTGTACCATCTGGCTGGTTGATGATGCATGGAGGGGATTGTAACCATGGCAATGTAACGCTATACGACAGGATGAACGTAAAGCTAATGTTCTCCCATGTAAACTATCACATAATTCACAATAAAACTTTTTTTTTTTTTTAAGGAAAGAACCCAAGAGAACAGACCAGGGTGGAGGGCTGGAGCTGGAAGCGGGAGCATTTGCTGCTAGCTGGCTCCCTGGGAGACCATCAGAAGTACATTCTGCCTCCCACGTAGCAGGCTGGCAGGCAGCCTCTCCCTGGCCAGCTCTGGGTTTGGGCAAAGGTAGGGGCAGTGTCTCAGCAGGGCCAGGTCATGCCCAGTGGCCAGTGCTTTGGGGGATGTGGACAATGTACAGAACCTGCCCCTCACCCTGGACTGGGGGTGCTGGAGGCTTATGCTGACATGAGAGACAGGAGGCAGAGGGGAAGCAGGCAGGGCAGCAACCGGCTGAGGCTAGGTAGATGTAGATGGCACCTTGTGCCCAGTCGACCATGTGGGGCCACGTGGGACCTGTGCCAAGTCACATGAGTGGGAGCTGCATTCATCATGACTCCAACCACCCCCGCCATCCTAAGCACCAGGGTGTGGACCAAGACCCACGTCCCCTCGTCCAACCCTAGGGCAGATCTCAGGCATGGAAAGGACTTCCCCAGGCCCCCTCCTCTCCTCCACTCTCATTTTCTTATAGCAAAGAGTGACTTTGATTCAGGGTCTCTCCCAGAATCCCTGTAGCCCTGAGTTACTGTTTAAAACCCTATCTCACATGGGAGTCAGAACAGCAGTTTACATTTTAACCTTACATCTCCCTAAAAGACACCTTTCAGAAGTAAAAGAAAACATGTCTCTAGTGCCAAAGAAAATCACTAAATCCTCAAGGATCTAGAAGGGCAGGAGGATCCTCAAGGATCTAGAAGGGCAGGAGGAGTTTGATTCCACGGTCCATGCAGACCCGGACTCCCAGCCCAGAATCCCTCCAGACCCTACCTGCAGAATCAGCCCTTCCCAAGAACAAAGCAAAACAAACCCTGTTGCTCCTGAGTGCATTCCAATTCACATGTAAGAAGGTAGAGCTGCTCCATAGGGTTTTCTTGGCTGTCATTGGTACAGAAGCAAATTGCCAGACCTTTCTTCTGCAGCACTGCCAGGTGGGTTCAAGCTGCCAACTTTTATGTTACTAGTCAGGGGCAACCCATTTATGACCCCCTCCCCACTCCCCGCCCCTGAGAACCACCTCTGGAAACAAGAGGGCTCTTTCAAAAGAAACATCACATTTTGGTACAGCAGTGGGTCAGTGAGAAACAGGGGGACGGCCCCTGGGCTGGACCGACAGGTAGCCCAAGCAGTGAGCCCAACCATCCTAAAGATGGCACCGGAGCAGACAATAGGTCGTCATGAGTCGGAGACAAGGCAACAGCAACTATTGACAGCAATAGAAGCTTCTGGAGTCGCACCCTCACTTCGCCTCCAATGTTCCACACTGGCCCTGTGCAGACCTCAAATGCAGGCAGGTGTCAGGGAGCTTGAACGAGGCAGACCTGGTATAAATAGGGCACGGTTTCATGCTTACTGAGCCCTGGCTTGCTTCATCTGCTGAAGAGTCCACCCCCTTAGATGGAGACTTGTTGTTGTTGTTGTTAAGTGCCGTCGAGTCGGTTCCGACCCATAGCGACCCTGTACAGGGTTTCCGAGGGTGTAAATCTTTACCGGAGTAGAAAGCCTCATCTTTCTCCCGCGGAGCAGCTGGCAGTTTTGAACCACTGACCTTAAGGTTC